CATTTGAGAATCGGAAGAGAACTCGTTTTTATCCGATGATGAACTGATCGAGTTCGATGTCGGGTTTCTATCCACGATACCCTCTTCGATCCCGACGTTCTTAGCGCTGTTTCGCCTCTTCATCATACGGCTAAGCTCTGATTCTACCATAGAACTCGTTTCGCTTTTCGAACGTCTTAAACCGACCACCTCTGGTTTCGTGGATAACGTTTTCTTCTGATGAAACATTAGATCTTGCTCGAACAACGATGGCGTGTAGAGTGGCACGCTCTGTCTCGAGCTATCGATAAGCCCTACGGCTATGTTAAGCAATCCGTGTGGCCGACCAGACGCACGTAAAACCTCTAACGTGACGAATCTCATGGCCGAGACATGGTTCACGAGGTCACTGACCAAGGCCTGAACCGTTCCGACATGGATGTCTTTAAACCAATGCAAAGCGTAGATCTCGATGACGACTAACGATGTCTCGTCGTAGAGTGATTCCTCGTCCAGACGGAACACGAACTTGTCGTTCCACGTGGGGCTGGTCCCGCCCGTGTTGTCGACACGTGTCGTGAGCTTGCGCTCCGGGTCGAGCCATGCGATCGCGTACGTCTTCATGTATCGAGCCACCGGAGCGAGATCTTGTGCCGAGATTATGTTCAGCTCCAAGATCTGCGATGGCCCGAGAAACGACATTATGTTACGTTTTTCTTTTTACGTTCGTTGACGGAAAACGTAAAGAATCGAATCAGAAACGAATCCGAATGATGGAAGATTTTTTCACGGATTCGACGGGAAATTGTCGGCGGAGTCCTTCGTCGTCCGGTGAGGGGACGACGAAGGAAGATGGTGCATGGAAAGGGTGGACGACCAAATATTGGAACGGCACAGATAAACCAAACGGGAGATTCTTTTGGTGACTTTTTTTTTTTTTGTTTGTTTGTTATTTTGTGACACCAAATTGATTGGATTGCTTCTCTGTTGACCACTATTTTCTTCTCCTTTTCCTTTGCTATTTTTAGTTTATTTGCTTTGTTTATTTTCTTAATTTAGTTAGAGTTTTCTTCTAAATTGGAACGTATTAAGACTAAACAAGTGTTGCCACATATCATTCACAGTGAAATTTGGGGGATTTGGTTTGGTTTTGTTCAGTTTTTTTTTTTCATATTTGGTTTTAGGGTTTATAGAAGATACTATTCATTGGGGTTTATTTTATGACAGATTTTGATCAGTTTTTTCAAAAAAAAAAAATTTAATTAATTTCTAAAATGATTTTTGTTTTCCATTTGATTATTTTTTTTTAGAATGGTGTCATGGCCCGGAGTTCACATTAATGATGGGACCCCAATAAATACTTGTGATTGAAAAATTAGAATTACACTACCCTCCTCAACCTGAACCTCGATTTGAGACACGACATACGTTTTGTATCACATTTCATCGGTTGATCTAATCAAGTTAGTTTTGATTGGATTATTCTTACATGAACGTACGATACTAAACAAGTGTTGTCGGATATATCATGCACAATGAAATTGTATCACACCATATTATCATTGGAAGCGTATTGGAGGTATTGGTTTGGTTTCACTTAAGTCGTTTTGAGGCTTTAGGTTTTTCGTTTTTCAAAACCTATACTATTGTTTTTTTGGATAAACTCAAAAGAAGCCATCAACTTTTTTATTTGGACAAAAATATTATGTTTTTAATGTTTGTTATAAAAATTTATCAACTATTAGTTTGAAAAAAAACATCAAATACATAACTTGTTCAAAAATAATTTTTCACTTTAAATTTATACTAAAAAACATCAACTATTGGTTTTGATAAAAAAAATATATATATATATATATAAACCATTGAAATTATTCAAAAAATATTTTACTTTAAATTTGGTATAAAAATCTATATATTTTGAAAAAAAAGTATATGTAAATTATACGATTTTTAATAAATTTAACATACAAGTTTTTTTATATCTAATATTGTTTAAAATGATTCATTTTTACATGTAAAATATCAATTTTTTTATTAAATTAGATATTTAATTTTTTTTTTCAAAATTTATATATTTTTATTACAAAATTCAAAATAAAATATTTATTTAATAACTTAGATAGTTGATGATTTATCTTTTTAAAACCAAGAATTGATGTTTTATAACAAATTTAAGGAAAAAGATTGTTTTTTTAAATAAATTATATAGTTTTTTTTTTATAATCGGGTGATCCCAAACCCAAAGACAGATTAATCCCGACCCACGCGCATGACCCTTCAACAATAAATTATATAGTTGATTGTTTTTTCCTTAAAATTAATAGCTAATGGTTTTTTATAATTAATTTGAAGCACAAGATTTTCTTGTATACGTAGGATTAGTTGATGTGTTTTTAGTTTATCCCTTGGGTTTTATGATGATTCATTTAAAAAAAAATATTCAGCTAAGAAACATTTACATCATTAAGAAAATAAAAACGATTAAAATAAATCAAGAGTTCACATTACCACCGGCACAAGTATAGAGGAGCCATAGACCCAGGGAAAAAAAATCCTAATAACAATAAATTTTTTTAAAATAAAAATCACAAGAATTATCAACCATTTGTAAACCTAGATTTTTCTTTTCAATAAACTTAAATCTAAACATAACAATTTCAGATATTTGGGAATTCGACATGCTTTCACAAGATGTCACGTGTAAAATTTTAAAAAAAAAAGATAAAATCGAGCTATTTTGAATATAAATCAAATATAAAATACAACACCGAAGAAGAAACCTTCAAAATACAAGTAAACCAACTAATCAAACCTGGAAATTAAAAGCTCACGGCATCATCGTTGATCCAATCGTACTTCCCCTCGAATGGATTTGGAGTTTCCGACAACTCTGGATAATGTCCGATCGAATCTTTCCAAATGTTCTCGCAGTTCATATCCTTCATGATCTGCCAAACACAATTGCTGGACTCAAACCCCGCACCCATGCTTATCATCAATGCATTCTCTCCTTTCCTTAGCCTCTTCTTAGCCTCCATATACCCTAAAACATACCAAATTCCACTCGAGGACGTGTTTCCGAATCTGTGGAGCGCCATTCTCGCTGGCTCGGTATCGTGTTCGTCAAGTCCTAAGCGTTTTCCGATGGATTCGATGTTTGCCCTTCTTCCCGGAGGTATGCAGAAATGTTGTATTCCGGATTTTAGGTTTAGTCCTATCCTGCTCGAGGATTCGCCATTCGCTCCTCTCCTTTTGAACGAGCTAGTTATCGAGTAGCGAAACAGTTCCTTGACGGGCAATACTCTCGGAATCAGGACCTGAAAGTTCTTAGCCATGGCCCTGGCTGCAGCCTTTTCCAAGTGTTTTGTTCTTAGAAAGCCTTTGTGCCCTTCACTGTCCTCCATTTGCATGCTGCATGCATAAGCTTCTTCGTCGTACCCAACGTGAGCACGAACCACGGTTTTTAGCTTCATGATCGCTTTGTTCTTCAGTTTAACGTTGTTTGTTAACAGAACTGAACTCCCTCCTGTCCGGAACAGACAGTTCGAGAGCATCATCGATCTGTCTTTGCCACTATACCAGTGTGGACTCAATGATTCGGTGCTTACAACTAATGCCAATGTGTTTTTGTAGATCTTGAACAATCTTTGGACGAGATCTATCGATATAACGCTCGCACCACAACCCATTCCCGAGAGATTGTACGATTTGATGTCTTCCCTCATCTTGTACCTGTTCACCAGCCGTGAAACGAGGGAAGGAGCCGGCGGAAAGAGGGATACGTTCACGACGAGTATACCGATTTCGCGAGGCGAAATGCCCGTCTCGGCAAAGAGATTGTCTAACGTGTCGAACATGATCTCGTCCATCTCCGTATACGCATCGAGAAGATTAGGGTTATCCTCTCTACCTTCGAGGATGTTTCTTGGGCCGTAAGTTTCCTCCCCGATGCCTGAACTAATCATCGTCTTGAGGAGAAACCTGTATTCTTCAAGACCCAGTTTCTCGTTCCTCTGAACGATCTGTGCACATGTTCCGCTGTCGAGCTTTCTCTCGTCTTTCCCCTTGTAGCACTCATAGTGAAGCACAAAGCATGCGCGGTTTCTCCTCTCAAGAATCGGTTTCAACAGGAGGAAGACGAAACAAGGGACAAGTGAAAAACATGTCAAGGTGAGAAGATCCATGAGAGAGAGAGAGAGAGATATGAATAATATAATTTGATTTTCAGCTGTAAACATGACTGTAGAGCTATACAGGTAGGTGGTTTTATAGATTTGTGTGACGTGCATTTACTTCATCTTATTCTATTTTGACAGTGAATTGAATTCAAAACCTTGTCTTTTTATAAAACTGCATGTATCGCACGCAGCAGCATGCAAATATTACGTGTGAGACAATGTATGAATATAATATAGCAGACGTCACGTCAATGTCACGTGTTAGGGACGGTGGGATGTCACGTGGTGGAATGGAACGGCGAAGAAGAACCCGAATCAACTCGAACAAACACGGATTCGGAAGATGCCTCGAGACATAGATCATCGTAAGAGTATATTTGTCTCTCTATTTTTTTTATAAGCCGAACTTTTTATTCGACTACATCTCCCAAAATCAGAAAAATCAATGTAAATAAATCTCTCAAAATAAGAATTAGAATCTAAATTAAAAAAGAGTTTTGCTCTATTTCTTACCGGTCCGACCACCTAATTTTGAGGATAATATTATATTGATTTGAATAGGATGGATTCGAACTCTTAAACATTTGCATGTGTATAGAACCACTGGCCTAAGAAGATATTTGTCTTTATATAAAATTAATCGAATTAAGCTAAAATATATCAGGTACAGGTACAACAAAATTTGTATTTAAAAAAAATGAAAAAAACTTTTCCTGGTTCACTAATTTTTTAATTTGTTTTAGTCAATTTAATGATTAGATGGGTAAAATAGAATGGCACAAAGATATATATGTATAATGCAATAAAATGATAATTCACTTTGAACAGATGAATACCATATATTTCTATCGAAAATACATCATTTCTCATTAGATATTCTTGAATTGATAACTGTTAGATAATTATATATATCTTTCACCCAAAATTTACAATCTATTGTTTTCTTTTCAACAGTCAGATATCTAAACTATGATTCAATATTTTCAGATATATAAGGGGCCGTCATGTCCCTTTCATCTTTTTTTTTCCTCATTTTTCTTAATTCTGTGTCGTTGTTCAATTCAATCATAATTAAATACAAAAAACTAAGAGCAACACTATTAAATATGTATAAATGTTATGATTTTTATTTTAAGGAATTTTTATCACAAATTTGTTATATATATATATATACACACACACACTCAATCATATATTTGATTTGGTAAAGAAATTAGTTGACAAGTTTCTCTAAAAAAATTTATATCGATATCTCAAGTAATAAAATTTTAACCACCAATTATTAAATTCTCATTTAACCTTTCAATACCTAAATAAATTGATTTAGATGATTTGCCTTCAAATTTTGCTAATAGGAAAAAATTAGTATAATTTTTAAGTGATTATCTATTTTATTTTATCGAAAAAGATATACTTCAGATATGTATGAAGTCGTTATGGATAAATTTAGAAAACAAAAAAAATCGTAGAATTCAATTATAGAAGTTAATATTTTTGACGACAAACCCTAACCAACCATAGTACCGCACCCGTCTACAACCGTCGGTCGGTAAACCAGACCTCCCGACCCACCGTTCGCATTCATACTATGGCTAGCAAGAAGAGGGGGTAAACCCTCACATCTTCGGATCTTCCCCTGCCACCTCATCATCTCCAAAATCGTCTCTATCTGCCAATCCCAAAATTGCCACCCTCCTTCGCCTCCGACAGCACTGAACCCATGGAATCTGCCATACCGCCACCAAACCTGCACCAGCCACTCCTTCACAACCATAAAATCTTTCCTCCGGACCTAGATCTGAATCCTAATCCCGTCATCTTAGTGCGTATCCCCCTCACTGTTGGACTGTACAAAAAATCCCTATGTCAGAGAATCAATGAAATAATGAATTGTGTAATAAAACTGCAAAACATCCGAGCAAGTGCATGGAGGTGTATGTCACTAATGATGAGTGTCTGGCTGCTCTCCAGAAGGAATATTCTCCAATACACCTCTCAAAGCTATTCCCATCATATAGGAATAGATATGAAGGTTGTAGACGCCGCTGAATGGTATAAAACAATCCTAGATGGAGAGCTTTAGTGAACACATATCGGCAAGTTGATACTTTTGTACGTATAGGCAGGAGTTTGATCAGATCTTAAGTGAGTTTTCACGGATCAGATGGCAACCAAGCTCAATGTGCTTGGTGCGTTTATGAAAAACGGAGTTAGATGCGAGATACATTGCCGAGCATTTGTCGTAGAAGAGATTGATAGGGAGCTACACTGAAACATAGAAATCTGATAGTAAATGAAGCAACCAAGCAATTTCACAAGTGGTTTGGGTAAGAGAGCGATACTCTGCTTCAATGCTATTTTCGGGAGATCATTTCCTACTTATTGGCCTTCCAAGAGATAAGAGAGGAGCCCAAAAGAAGACTGAAAACCCAGTTATTGATCGTCGGGAATCATGACAAGAAATCTAGTCCAACAAATGCTTGCATGCACAATTCTGATGAACCCGAGTCGAAAAGTTTTTGACCACGATTTTTTCCAGGTATTTCAGAATTCGATGAGCTGTCTTGAGATGAATATCTGTTGGGTTTGATGAGACGGTGTTGCTCATATTGAGTAACCAAGTAGAAAATCTTTTCTAGAAAATCTTTTCTAGATCAGGTAAGAGATCAAGAATCACAATATGACTGCGAAAAGCGTCGAAGGAATGGTTGAGACCGAAAAAGAACTCAATAACGAAGTCCTTTTAGTTTTTGGCATGCCATTCCTGAGCGACATTGCAAAAGCAGTCACCACACTTGCAGTGATGACTGGTTTTGATCGATTTCAACTCCTCGCAAAGAGCGGTGGTGTGTAGAAGATGGTAACGTCGAGAGATCCTATGACGTGGTCATATGGATTTTGGTTGTAGATGATTGTATCGTGTGATATAATGCATGGTTGATATTTAAAAATTTTATGATTTAATTTATTAGGTGTTGAATTGTAATTGACATGTAAAATTTATTATATAATTTATTATACATTGGGTTTAGGGTTTAGTTGTCAAACGATTTGTATTGGTAATCGAACCATAGTTATAGAAATTTTAAAAATCATAGGTAACTGCATTTTCCTATACGTGTAAGAATATGTAAAATGAAAAGAAAAAAAATAATATCTGAATGATAGAAATTAGATGAACTTCGTTTATAAACTCATTTCTAGATTTCGCTACGGACCAGCTCAGTTGTAGACCGTAGTAGATTTAGGACCAATTTCATCATGTTACCTCTAATAACACTTCTCCAATTCTATCACATCATTATTTTTTTAAAAAAGATCTAATCTTATAATACATAAACATATTTTAACCGAGTTAGATCTAAAATAAATAAATTCATTTACAATTAAAATTATGAAGTATAAAATAAAAATATTTTCAAAATTAAATAAATACGGTAAAAAAAAAGAGGAACAAAAAAAGAAAAATAAATTCGCAAAAGTCGTCTCCTTGGAGTGTGATCTTTGAGTCGGCGAAGTTGGAAAAAGAAAATGCAGTCGGGCGATGGTTACAGCAATGGTTACCATCACGACAACCAGCAGCCATGGCGAGAGAAGCGTGATGGCTTGAGTTCCAATGGCCGTACCCGGCGGCGGAGCCGAGGCGGAGCTCGTTATACCGGCGGCAGCGGAAATGGCTTCTCCAATCCTCTTAGGGTTTTCGACCAGTTCGATGACCAGAAATCTCCGCCGCCTCCTCCGCCGCCGACGGACTTCGACGTAGCGTACTTTCACTCATACGCTCACGTTGGCATTCACGAAGAGATGATCAAGGTACTTCTCTCGATTTTTCTTCGTAATTTCTCCTAGGGCTTATTCATGTCGAGAGATTTTGGTTTGGCCTTGTGAGCTACGTTCTAGTGGTGGCTCAGTTGTGAGTTGAATTGAGGTTTAGGGTTTAGTTCTCGTGATTGATCTTGGGAGAATTCTGTGTTTGTATATTGGATTGATAACGAATAGATCTCTTAACACTTTGGTACGAGCGGTGAAATTTCAATTTTTCGAAATAATCAGCTTAACATGCCATGAAATTGGTTTATTGTGGGTTCAACTGGGATTTTGTGTAAACCCTTCTGGTATTGGAGTTTTATCTACTGCATATTCAGACTTGACCGATCTGCCTTCTCTTTGTATGGAAAGGGATCACCAGTGTCTGTGGAAAATGGATGAGAAGGTAGTTGGTAGACTACGCATCAATAGGGAGTGTTAGTCAGCGAATTCAGTGGCTATGCCTTTACTTTTCAGATTGTCTTTTTCATTCTTTTCGGTGAATTTGACTTACTTTGTTCCATGTTTCTCCTCTGCATTTTGCTCTTTTATGTGAAATCTGCCCGGTTGATGCAGGATCGTGCAAGGACGGAAACTTATAGGGAGGCCATCATGCAGCATCAAAATTTTATTCAAGGCAAAGTAATGTTCCTGGCTATATTTTATTATCTTCAGAAATGAGATTGGAGAAAAGATTCAAGCTCCGGATTCGTGTATCTTATTTTATTATTTTATCTGATTGTGTTTAGACTGGGTTCTGGAACTGGTAGTATGCAAGACTTGTTTGAACAAACTGTGCTTGTGATGTGGTAGTTTTGTGTTTGTGGTTGAAAAATCCATTTCTGCGTTGACTAAATGTTATTGCCCTGCAGATTGTGGTGGATGTTGGCTGTGGGACAGGCATTCTTTCAATCTTTTGTGCTCAGGCCGGTGCAAAGCGGGTAGGAAATACTATCTGTTATAATACCCGTAACATGGACATTGGGCATTGATTTCTAACAATTTGCACCTAAAGTTTCGAAGACATTGAAAGTTGTAGGATATGGATTTTGGTCAGTTTTGTGTTTTTTTTTCTCTATCTACAATGTTTTTCTAGCTGAGAAGAAAACCAGCTCCGCCTTGTTTTCTTACAACCACTAATTTTCTGTACAGGTATATGCTGTTGATGCAAGTGACATAGCAGTGCAGGTATTTTTCCAGATGCTTTCTCTGTTCAATAACTGGGTACAGAACATTGCTCTCAAAGTTGCAGTCTTTAGCTTTATAATAACTTCCATAATGTTAAAAATCTGGGAAATTCCAAGTTATAATTAGATGGAATGAGATATTTTGGAATTTTGTGAGAATTCACTGTATATGACGAGATTAATTGTGTAGCAATCAGGACACCAATTTAATGTTTTGAATGGAAGAAATGTGATATCGCATATGATGAGATCAATTGTGTAGTCAGGGAATGATGCTTGTTTCAATCTTATCTAAAATGATGTGACTGTGTTTGAAATTTACACAATTTTGTTTCAGTGACTATCAGCTCTTGTAATTCTTTTATCTTCACCAGGCAAATGAAGTCGTTAAAGCTAATGGTTTATCTGATAAAGTCATTGTTTTGCATGGGAGGGTGGAGGTACGTTCTTCGCTGTAGTTTATTTCATGTCAGGTATTTCCTATGCATTACAATGAATGGCATGCTAAGGCTTATCTCTAAACTACTCACAGATAGACTGTTTCTCTTTAGGCAGAAACATTAGATCTTTTTGGTCATTTGTTTTCTATCATCTCATATGAACTTGTGTGGAAGAAATAGTTCTCTACATAAGGATTTTGTTTCTATTATCCTAGTATTCTCAAGGATGTGTAGTAATGTGCTATGACTTATGAAGAAGCTTACATTGAAGATTCAAGCCCATAACTTGTGGCTTCTGAATAGAAGTGAGTGCAATGGACAATTTAGTGGCTTCATTTGTGCATAGCTACAGAGATAAAATTGTTTGGTGGCAACATACATCCTTAGAAGATATATTTTAAAAAAAGATGTCTCGCCTTCATCATCTATACTGATTGTTGTCTGTTGGAATGTGCATCAGGATGTTGAGATTGACGAGGAAGTTGATGTTATAATTTCAGAGTGGATGGGCTACATGCTCTTGTATGAGGTTATTTCGATAACTCATGTTTGTTTGTCGATGTTTGGTGAACTCAAATCCTAACCATACAATAGTTCCTCTTTTCTTTAAGACTATCTATTCTCTCATTCTTATATTACATTTTCAAATGTGGAACAATAGAGCATGCTGGGAAGTGTTATTACAGCTAGAGATCGTTGGCTAAAGCGTGGAGGTCTGATTCTTCCATCACACGCAACTGTATGGTTCTAATTCCTTCTAATTTAATATCCCCTTTTTTTCCCTCTTGGTACTTCCACTTGCGGAAAAATCTTTTTGTGGGCCTTGTCTTCTGTCTTAACACTGATAAATTATTTGAAGTTAATCCAACTGCTCGGTTTTGTTATTCATTCTGATGTAACTCGTGTTCTTGCTCTTTTTATTGATACCTGAAGCTAATCGAACGGCCTAGCTTTTGTTATTCATTATTTGGTTTTGTTTTGGCTTATAATCCAATGACTTTTGGATGTGATGTATATTCTCTGGTTTCAGCTATACATGGCACCTATCACACACCCTGACAGATACAGCCAAAGCATTGATTTTTGGCGCAATGTCTATGGAATTGACAGTACGTATAGACTATATTAACAACATCAACTTTTACAAAGTCATTATGTTAAATTCTACTGCTGTATTAGTTAACCTGAGATTTATCCTTTCTATTTTCTTTGGATTTTTTGTTTTGGGATTACTGTATTTAGCATCATAGTAGTAGTGAGGTTAGGGAAACCCCACACTGATCAGATGTGATAAAATGGACTAATGTGATAGCATATGACCATAATTCAATGTGTGTGTGCTCGATTCTGGAATATAACCCGAGGCATTGGTTCATCAGGGGGTTCAATTTAATTGTTTGCTTGTTATTTACTATAATGCTGGGGACTTATCTACTGGAAAATAACATAAATAGCTAGGCAATAGCCGTAAAAAGGAAGTGTATTGCAGTGAGGTTTCAGTAACAATGTTTTTATTTCCAGTGTCTGCAATGATGCAATTAGCAAAACAGTGTGCGTTTGAAGAACCTAGTGTGGAGACGATAAGTGGCGAGAATGTTTTAACATGGCCACATGTGGTATTTTCCTCTTCTTTATATGCTTGTCACATCTAATGATTCTAATTTTAAGTTCATAGCTATTTTTACATTCCGAGAGGTTTCATTCTATTTGTTAAGTGGTCAGCATTAGCACCCGCATACTTTGTTTATTGCAAACACGAGTGTTTCAGGTTAAGCATGTGGACTGTTACTCAATACAAACTCATGAGCTCGACTCCGTTACTACAAGATATAAATTTAAGTCCATGATGAGAGGTACATCTAGTTCTTATATCGACCATCCCATGTGTGTGTGTAGCACACAAATAGAAGCTTTCGTTTACACTTTCTTCGTCCTCTGCTGTAGCTCCTATGCATGGGTTTGCATTTTGGTTTGATGTTGAATTCAGTGGGCCAGCCTCTTCAACTACCAATAACCGCTGTGTAGCTGTGGCTAGTGGTTCATCGTTGAATTGTAATGGAGATGAGAATCAAAAGAAACGGGCTAATCCCGATAATGCTCTCGTATTGTCCACTGCTCCTGAGGCGCCTCCAACACACTGGCAGCAGGTAAAAACCATGTGCCTATACCTTTTATGTTGTCATCTCTCCTTTAACTGTACTTTTGTTGTGAACTCTCTACCATGAATGTTTTAGGGAAAAAAAAGGATCTAGGAATAAACAGACTTATAAATGCATGCTAAGTTGCTAACAACACACCAAAAAAAGTAACCATGCTTAAAATAAGTGAATTCGTAATTTTATACTAAAATTATTCATGTTCATAGGTTTCCTGTATATTTTACGCATGAAACGTACAAATCCGTTTACTTTCAGAGAAATGATTGCAAGTTTATATATTTCAAGCCTCTTGCACTGTCTATGTCTATGTATAGTTAGCGTGAATCTTTGAGTCTGCTTGTTTGTTTTGTTTCTATGGCAAGATTTTAGGAAATCTTAAGTTTCTTTCACTGACTTGTGAATTGATCAGGCTGACACGTCTCATCTTATAATTGGCACCACTTTTGTTACTTTCCTAACAACATTTCCTCGCAGTTTACAGAATTGAGGAACTAACTTCTACACTTTTTGACAAAAAAAAACTTTGTTTTCCATTTAGATTATCCATTTTTTGTAACCGAATTATTTCGACAGACAATTGTATATTTCTACGACCCGATAGATGTCGAGCAAGATCAAGTTATTGAAGGCTCTGTTACCCTCTCACAAAGCAAGGAGAACCGAAGATTCATGAACATTCATCTCGGATACTCGTGAGTAAAACTACAAACCTCATTTTTTCCTCCTATTAAGACTTATCCTCGTGATCTCCATCCTTATTGGCACTTCCTCTTGTGATTATCACAGTTCCGCTGGACGATCCTTTGTAAAAGAATCAGTAATGCGGTGAGACGCTATTTCGTGTTGAATTATTCGAAGAAGAATCATCATGGCCTAACCATAGAAGCCTTGGAAGATGTGGTGTCCATGGCAATGGGGCAGTAGCAGTCATTTTACGGTTAGTATCTCGTATAAGCCTGATGACCAACGGACCTTAGGTTCTTAGGTGAAGTGTGAGCAATCTTCTTTAGATGTTTACACTATCCCTTTGGTCGATAGGGCACTTCTGAGTGATTTGTACCATTGAGGTATTTTTTTTTTCTTCCCTGGTCTGGACGAGATCTCACTTGGGCAAAATAGATGGTTTGAACCGCAACTGGCCGTGGTGGTTGCGGTTATGATTGTGATTGAGGCAGCATCTTTGGCATTATCAAAAATACTCTTACTTTGCTATTTTGATTTCAACACATATCCTTCTCCACTTGTAACCATATGACTCATGTGATCCGAAATATAGTGTGGTCACATGTTGGTCCCATTGTTCATAACGTTAGATTTATAATGTTTTAATCAAATGGTTAGTAAAATATATAAGATATGAACATAATGAATTAGTGTGATCACGATAAATTTAACGTTATAATCAATAAAATTAAAATATGACCACATGGGTCACATGTTCACAGATGAAGAAAGTTATGTGTTTAATTCAAAATAGCAAAATAAGGGTATTTTTGATATAATGTCGGTTTGTTGACTATTGGTCTTTGTTACATATCACTTTATGATTGAAGTGTCGTAACTCTATTGAAAACAGTGGCAAATCGTAATGAGTTTTCTGATGAAAACCTTAGACATATTATTAACAGCGGAAATTATGGGATAATCGAACAACAAACCGTTGCATCTTAATCTATTTTAGGGTATATGGACATTGGAAAGTAATCCTATGGATTTTCGAATATCCGTAACTTATTTTATTATGGGCTGAATTACAATAGACATCTAATAGTATTTGAAAGTTGTAACGGTGACTTTAATGCTAAGACATGGTGACTTTAATGCTAAGACATCCGAACTACTAGGAATTAGGGTGGTTTATTGGGTCTGAGTTCCGTTCAATTATGTTCGGGATTGATTATTTCGGTTTTAGAAAAATTATAACTGTTCGGTTTTTTTATAACCATTTTCAAAGCATTTGAAATCTCTAATCTACTATGTAGAATTACAATAACCACGAATTTTAACAAATTTTAATAAATTTTCACTCAGTTTGTGAGAATTTTGTTTTCTTGTCTATGCAACATTTCAATGCGACCCAACATATCGTGGGTGAGTGGTCAAGTTTGGGTAGGAGGTAACTCCACTTTGAGGTTGAGTGTTCGATTCCTGGCTGATGGGGAGGGAGTTAATTTCTGGGTTTATACAAAGGCTGCTCCCGGGTCGGAGGTTTATATAGTCAACGCGTCCGAAGGGTAGCAGCTAGGGATCCTCCATTATTAAAAAAAAAAATATTTCAATGCGAAAAGATAGATTAATCGAATAAATGGGATGAATTACCACTAGAGTTTGATAGGTATCACCATTCATTTAACTAATTAGACATTACACATGCGTGAATAAATTTTTTTTTTCAAGTGAAGGAATTCATAATTTGGGTTTTATTAAAAACATCTGTTTTTGAAATATTTCATTTATTTCTATATTAAATTCTAATTCGATTAACTTAGTTTTAAAAAAACCATATCCTATCAACTTTCAAATTATATCAGAATATAGTTACATATTATTCGGGTAGATTTGATTTAGATACCTAAATCAAAATCTCATCCATATCTAAAACTTTACAAAAACTTGAAACATTCTTTTGCCACAAAAGGGAAAACGAAATCATTGCATTATTATTTGGACGGATGCCTAAACGAAAAGCCTCTCACTTGTATGTTATACTTCAACAACTCTGAGAAACGTCTAAAGGCAAATTATAAGGAAATTGAGAGAGAAAAATGTAATCAAACTGCCCAAATTTATCTGAATCCAATGGCTAAAATTTGCTGCCGCCACCAATGATACAGAGAGAGAATACAATACTTGCAATCAGAGGCGAAAACGGATCCGAAACTGACGGCAAAATCGCGCTTTCTCATAACCCCGAGAGCTTCTAAATGAATTATTACGCCTTCCTTGCGGACCCTCAAATCACCCGACTGTCAAACCGAACCCAAACTTGTAGTCCTTTTTCTTATGATCGAGCTGTCACGTATATTAGATGGTACAAAGAATAGTGAATACCAAGACGAAAATTATCGAAAGCACGATGGAATTCCAAGTTAAATAGATTACAAGGCTAAGGATTTGTTATGAATAAACTTCATACCTCTGCGGAAAGAATGAAATTGAGGCCCATATTCAATCGTTCTTCGAGGTAAGCAGCTGTAACACCGTTGGAATCGATCTTCCCCCTTAAACGACACTAGAAAAACACCCACGAGGCAGAACTAGATTGAATTGAAGACAAATACGATGCAAAGTTCAACTTCATAAAATTAGGAATCAGACAGTTGTAAGCATAATTTTCAACCAAGAGTTACATTTTTGTTTGATATAAAAACGCATGTGGTCTTAAAAGAGGACAAAAGAAAGTACCTGTCTGAGAATGTAATCGTAGCCCACACTGGCTGTAACGTCTCTCGACATATAGTTGTACATGAAATCCGTCGCAAGTGAAACCTTATTATGATGGAAAGTGGTTACGTCAACTAAAAAAGTTAAGATATATTTAAGGTGAGAATCAGGAGACCAGTGTCTCACCTTCTCTGACACCTTCTGAACATAGCTCAGGGCAACCATACCAGTGCTGGCCACTTGACCAGTGGCGACCTGTGTACAAAACACAAACATTGAATATGGCAATTCTAATTTTGGGAACGGGAGGTTAAAAGTGTAATCAATTGAAGATTTCAGAAACCAAGCAAGTTCTCAAATGAAGAATGAAGCAGGAAGTGGGTCAGAACCCGGACATATCTATAAAATGAAATCTTTTACTGATATACGACAGACCTTTTACTTGAAGATAACAAAAGATTCGAAATGGTAATGGAATAGAGATGATAAGTATAGATGCAATGATGACAATACAGGATAGTTGGCTTCAACTGAGATTTGGGGGATAAAAGACCTAAATGCTCAAATCCTTGTTTTAAACTGAAGATATAACTGCTACTCCAGAATCTAAAAAACCCAGTATAAAACCAGAAAGTTGTCCTTGAATCAAATATTGTGCAGAACGATATAAAATAGTCAAACAAATAGCATATAAGAAAGTGATTGTCAATTGTGAATTTGTGAGCTGAACACATGACCAAGACGAAACATTACCATCTTTTCTGTCTCATATCTAGCAGCATAACCAATGCCAGACTTCCTGTGCTGGCCAGCCCAGAAAATCTCACCACCCAAAGCAAGGCGGGGTGTCACACTCTATAAGAAAATCAGATAGTTCAGTGAATCAGAGGAGCACCTAGCGCTAATTAAAATAATTGTTTTCGCAGATAAAGACTGTAAGCGTTACCAAAATCACAAAGTTGGATGATAACAAGACTGTCCAAAATTCATCTTTCAGGGTTCTACAGTTAATAAGTTTGCTAGAAAATGGACAACAAACCTTTATATAAACACGAGACATATATTTTGAGAGAGCTTTCCTTTCATCTCTTGTTCATGTTCATACACAAAAGTCTACAACTACATAAAATAACAGCTGATGTTTCAGTTGTCCACTTTACCTGGATATAGTTAGCTCCAAGTAAGGCTCCATTTCCAAGTTGAAACTGGGTCCGGTAGTCTGATCCCTACACAGACATGAAACTTAACTCAGCGAAGAGCTGCATCAAAGGGGTTAAAAAATTTAAGTACTTAAAAGCATTTACTGACCATGTAATCGAAGTTGAACATCGCATGTGACATATGGGGTTCATTTGTGAGCTGATAAGGAGAACAAAGAATTATTGGAGATATGATTATAAACTGAAGGTAAATATTATGCAGCAACTCAAAACAAATCAAAATTTTCAGTTGCAGCATATTTTACCTGAGCATTAGCTTTCATGATCAGCTTATCAGTTAAATCGCACTTCACTCTCGCATTTAGTCGACCATCCGTCAAGACCCTTCCGATAAGCATCAACTGTTTAGAAGTTCATCAATTTCAAAGCTTTTTAATTGCTCTAAAAATCGGAAAAAAACAAAAATAGATTACCAGATTCAGTAAAAACAACCTACCTTTGGGTCAATAAAATTCGCACCAAACTCATATTGTGCGGTTGGAATTTTGATCGTTTCAGAAGACTGGGAAGGAACTTCTGTTGGTCCCATCAATACACTGTTTGAAACATCAATAAACATGATTATAAAGGAAGGTTGTGGAAGGTATTCTTAATAAACGAATGTTATTACCTGTGACTAAGAGAAAACTTTGAGTTCAACCCCTTGGTAAAGTCGAAGCGTAAACCCTCAAAAAGCTCAGGCTTTAAAGACACTGCAACAGAATCAAACCAGTTATGATCCAAGTAAGAAAACACAATCAAAGACTACACCACCACACATGACAGGATTTGATGTCAAACTGGTGTCTGGTGAAAACTTTAGAAGATCCATCCCCAACCTCCATAAAAAAGGACTAACCCTATGCCCATCTAGTGGGGTACTGGGGAAGGGAATATACTATGCAGCTTTACCCCTACATTTATGTAGCGAGGCTGATTCAAACCCGCGACCTCAGATCCTACGGTAAATGGTTTTACCGCTGAGCCAGGTCGGCCCTTCTTTCCCAACCTCCCATGTGACTAATTATCTAGAGATACCACATATGGCTCATAGTAATTAATGGATCTACAGTGACCATATTCTTAGCAAAAGGTCTTGAAAAAAGGATAAAAAAGATAGAGGAAAAATAAAAAATCTAATACCAAACACTTCGTAATTTTTTTTTCCAGAAATCTAGAAACCCGTTTCTACTGCCAAAGCTAAAACTTTGAGCAGCATTGCTGAACTTAATCAATTCTTTTTCACATGAAGTAAAATCAACCGCAACATAGCACAAATGACAGGCGCTCAATCGCAATCAATTAGAATTGAAGCAACACCCGTAGTTCTTGACCTACCCAGTGAAATGCTAAGTTCACAAAGAACACAACATATCAATGCTCAAACAAAACATTAAATTCCCATTTTACAATACCAATGCAACTATTGTGATACTCATCTACATCTAGATTGTTCGTTCAGAAATTCAGATCAAAGACCCAAAAACCTAGAAACCCAAACACGACACACCCAGATTCAGATTAAGTTGCAATAGAAACTAGAAAAAGAAGACACGCGGATATAGGACAGAGAACAAGTACTGGTACTGAACTGAGAGCTTCTCGGTGGATTTCTTCGTAGGGAATAGGGCAAGGGAGGTTCGCGTAATCCACTTTCTCCTCCACTTTGCTATTCATATCGTCTTGTGCCGCCATGACCGGTGATGCAAGTCCCGCCATCACTTACGCCTCTTCAAAACCCTTTTTCTGCGATTTGAGCGAGAGAGAAAATGGGAGGAGTCCAAAGCAGGCGAGGGTTTTTTCCCTTTGGAGGCTATATGGGTTTTTCTCTGTCAGGGTTTTGCGAATTTGGTTCAGTTTCTCCGGTTCGGTTTACAGGTTAACCGATTAAAAACCGGTTGATACTCGGTTTAGCGACAAAACCAGCTTAATATTCAGGGGTTTCGGCACCCGGTTAACAATTATGACTTTCGTGTTCACACAGAAACTAGGTGGCGCCTGGTTGGCATATATTTTAGTATGAAATTTTATTTAGTTTTTTGAATTTATATTCATTAATGTGTTAATTTCTATATATTTAAATATTTCAGTGGTATCGGATATTTTAATATTTTCAAATAAACAGTTGATTAGTTTTAATTTTTCGTGAGATTCATGTATAATTGTATTACGAATATGGTGAAAGAATAAAATACTCGTAAAAGACGTATTCTATTCTCTATTTTTTCATACGTGTTTTGTCAGATTGATAATGTGATTTTTGGATTAGATCAAAGTTATCATTTTACCGAGTACATATATTAATTTACATATTCTTAATTTTTACTAACAATCTAAAAGCGTTAAATACGTACGAAGCTTATGATGTTAATTCTTATTTTTTTTTCTCCAACAGTCGGAACATTTGGTGGTCTAACTTTCGGATACAATCTTGGAGGTTTAGGTCAGTGGGACTTTATTTTTTGTTGTGTGGTTTAATCGTGAAAACGAAGATATGAGCTAGTTTGGAATTTTGTTTGTTATGATCTTGAAATTAAAATTTAGGGAATTTGGATCCGATTTCATAATAAAACTTTCGGAACTCCGAATATATTTTAAGATGTTTCTGAACAAGAGAAGTGTCTACATGTATACGAACGACGCAATATATAGAATGTTCATTGTATTGATCACAATATATATCAGCATGTATAATAGGTTTAACCTAGCAAAGAAGGCAAGTTACACAAGAGGAATGTGTACAATGATTAAGGAAGTATATATTATTTCATATATGCTCCCGCAAGATGAATCACCCCTCACCCTCGTTGATTCCCATTCTTGGAACATCAGTCATCGAAGGAAGAGTGAAGAAGAGATTTGGTGAGGATATCCGCTAGTTGATCATTGGAGCTAATGTGCGATATACAAAGAGAGTCCTTTTCAATTTGCTCACGAACAAACAGATAGTCGAGAGCCAAGTGTTTCATTTGTGAATGGAAAATCGGGTTAGAACTCAAGTATGTACTTCTGATGTTGTCGCAATATATAGTTGGGAGTTGCGGAATGGAAACATGAAGCTCATACACGAGCTTCATGATCCAACATAATTCAGCGGAGGTGTTGGCAACAGATCTATACTCGGTTTCGGTGGATTTCAGAAGAGACCATTTTGTTTCTTCGAAGACCAAGAGATAGGATGACGCCCAAGACAGACGATGTAGACTCTGATAGATTTGAAGTCGGCTCCATCACCTGCCCAATCATCGGTGCTGAAGGCATGGAGTCGAGAGGAGTTGTCGGTGGCATAGAAAACTCCATTTGTCCGAGAACCAGATAAGTATCAAAGAATCCATTTTAAAGCTTGCCAATGCTCATATGTCGGTTGATATATAAACTGTAAGAGTTTATTAACAGCAAAATTCACATCGAGTCGTGTGAGAGAGAGATATTAGAGGCTGCCAAGAAGTTACCGGTACTCAGTTGGGTCAGAAAGTGGGTATCGAGATGTCATTGTAAGCTGAGAGGAAAGGTGAATGCCATTGGTGTTGAATAGAAGTTATTGCAAAAAAATGTAAGTGATCCTACTCATAAATATGAGTAAACGTGCATACGTTTGTATTTATATGCATTTCTTTTGTAATGAATCGATAATGGATTCACTACAAGAAAATAGTTATATACCGACGGAAAAATCCGTCGCAAATATAAAGGAAATCCGTCGCAATTAAGAATTTGCGACGGAATGCGACGGATTTATTTCCGTCGGTATAGCGCTGTCGCAAACGTATAACGGTCGTTAATCCGTCGCATTTTTGCGACGGAAAAAATCTGCGTTTTGCGACGGAAAGTGACGGATAATTCCGTCGCAATTTGCGACGGATTTTTTTCCGTCGCATTCCGTCGCAAATGTTTTAAAAAATTTAAAAAAAAATATAAAAAAATTAAATACTATATATACACATACATATATACATTTTCACATACACATACATTCATACACATGCATTACATACATACAAATATACATACATATACATACATATATATACACATATTTTCATATACACAAACACACATACACATTCACACATATACATATATACACATATATACACATACATAAATATTCATACACATACACATTTCACAAACACATACACATACATATAAACACACACATATACACATATTCATATACACATACAATCACATATACATACACATACATATTCACATTCACATATATATATATATACACATACACATTCATATAAACACACACATACTGTGACACCCGTAACCCCGTATCCCGCTTACAGGTTGTGCCACGTGGACAATAAAATCACAATCGGAAAATTTAGAAATATAAACTCGCGGGAAAGGCTAAACCATCCATTTTAAATATAATACAGCGGAAGACATTATAAAATACATCAATACGTTCGCACACGTATGGAAAGATACCAGTACATAATACAAGTGGTGTGAAAACTATAACACAAAAAGTTCGAAGATCACCATTCTTTATTTTTGAAAACGGAATGCGTTAAAGATAATTATACACGATCAAGAAGTCTAGCTGTCACCGGGTCCCGTGTCTGCCTCAGTCACTGTTGCTGCTCACGACCTGAAACGTTGCATAACAACGTCCTAAGCTACGTGCTTAGGGAGGAATTCGGGTGTAACCCGAGATTTCTATTTTTATTGAAAACGGCCAAGCAATATAGTCAATATTATAATATACAAGCGACGAGAAATATCAATCAGATCAATCATCGTGAAAATCAATCAGCAATCTCAAACAAATCCGTCAATCGTCTCTACGTGTATCTCACACGTAGGTAATTCAACAACTCATTCATGCCTGTGTCGAACACGAGGCGCAACAGTCCAAGCAAAATCGTTTGCGAGGACCTCAAGTGATCTTCATACTCCTCATCGGTCACCGATATCACGACTCTCGGTACCGGTCATCTCCATACCCACTCCAGACATCGATCCCCGATGCCGCCGACTGCCGGGCAAAGCAGCTCTATGCTAACTCCCCCTCGCCGACCATCCGCC